GAACCAGTTCCAGTTGTCACTGCAGTCCCACCAGTCTACAATCGAGTCACCACACAATCCACATCGACCACCACTCAAACACCACTCATTACAACACAATACGTCCAACCATCATCAACATTACAACCAGTTCCAATTGTCACGTCCAACAAATCAAGCGACGCTGAATATAGCATTAATGGAATATTGACGAACACTGAATCTTCAATCTATACAACACAATACGTCCAACCATCATCAACATTACAACCAGTTCCAGTTGTCACTGCAGTCCCACCAGTCTACAATCAGTCCACCACACAATCCACATCGACCACCACTCAAACACCACTCATTACAACACAATACGTCCAACCATCATCAACATTACAACCAGTTCCAATTGTCACGTCCAACAAATCAAGCGACGCTGAATATAGCATTAATGGAATATTGACGAACACTGAATCTTCAATCTATACAACACAATACGTCCAACCATCATCAACATTACAACCAGTTCCAGTTGTCACTGCAGTCCCACCAGTCTACAATCAGTCCACCACACAATCCACATCGACCACCACTCAAACACCACTCATTACAACACAATACGTCCAACCATCATCAACATTACAACCAGTTCCAATTGTCACGTCCAACAAATCAAGCGACGCTGAATATAGCATTAATGGAATATTGACGAACACTGAATCTTCAATCTATACAACACAATACGTCCAACCATCATCAACATTACAACCAGTTCCAGTTGTCACTGCAGTCCCACCAGTCTACAATCAGTCCACCACACAATCCACATCGACCACCACTCAAACACCACTCATTACAACACAATACGTCCAACCATCATCAACATTACAACCAGTTCCAATTGTCACGTCCAACAAATCAAGCGACGCTGAATATAGCATTAATGGAATATTGACGAACACTGAATCTTCAATCTATACAACACAATACGTCCAACCATCATCAACATTACAACCAGTTCCAGTTGTCACTGCAGTCCCACCAGTCTACAATCAGTCCACCACACAATCCACATCGACCACCACTCAAACACCACTCATTACAACACAATACGTCCAACCATCATCAACATTACAACCAGTTCCAATTGTCACGTCCAACAAATCAAGCGACGCTGAATATAGCATTAATGGAATATTGACGAACACTGAATCTTCAATCTATACAACACAATACGTCCAACCATCATCAACATTACAACCAGTTCCAGTTGTCACTGCAGTCCCACCAGTCTACAATCAGTCCACCACACAATCCACATCGACCACCACTCAAACACCACTCATTACAACACAATACGTCCAACCATCATCAACATTACAACCAGTTCCAATTGTCACGTCCAACAAATCAAGCGACGCTGAATATAGCATTAATGGAATATTGACGAACACTGAATCTTCAATCTATACAACACAATACGTCCAACCATCATCAACATTACAACCAGTTCCAGTTGTCACTGCAGTCCCACCAGTCTACAATCAGTCCACCACACAATCCACATCGACCACCACTCAAACACCACTCATTACAACACAATACGTCCAACCATCATCAACATTACAACCAGTTCCAATTGTCACGCCCAACAAATCAAGCGACGCTGAATATAGCATTAATGGAATATTGACGAACACTGAATCTTCAATCTATACAACACAATACGTCCAACCATCATCAACATTACAACCAGTTCCAGTTGTCACTGCAGTCCCACCAGTCTACAATCAGTCCACCACACAATCCACATCGACCACCACTCAAACACCACTCATTACAACACAATACGTCCAACCATCATCAACATTACAACCAGTTCCAATTGTCACGTCCAACAAATCAAGCGACGCTGAATATAGCATTAATGGAATATTGACGAACACTGAATCTTCAATCTATACAACACAATACGTCCAACCATCATCAACATTACAACCAGTTCCAGTTGTCACTGCAGTCCCACCAGTCTACAATCAGTCCACCACACAATCCACATCGACCACCACTCAAACACCACTCATTACAACACAATACGTCCAACCATCATCAACATTACAACCAGTTCCAATTGTCACGTCCAACAAATCAAGCGACGCTGAATATAGCATTAATGGAATATTGACGAACACTGAATCTTCAATCTATACAACACAATACGTCCAACCATCATCAACATTACAACCAGTTCCAGTTGTCACTGCAGTCCCACCAGTCTACAATCAGTCCACCACACAATCCACATCGACCACCACTCAAACACCACTCATTACAACACAATACGTCCAACCATCATCAACATTACAACCAGTTCCAATTGTCACGTCCAACAAATCAAGCGACGCTGAATATAGCATTAATGGAATATTGACGAACACTGAATCTTCAATCTATACAACACAATACGTCCAACCATCATCAACATTACAACCAGTTCCAGTTGTCACTGCAGTCCCACCAGTCTACAATCAGTCCACCACACAATCCACATCGACCACCACTCAAACACCACTCATTACAACACAATACGTCCAACCATCATCAACATTACAACCAGTTCCAATTGTCACGTCCAACAAATCAAGCGACGCTGAATATAGCATTAATGGAATATTGACGAACACTGAATCTTCAATCTATACAACACAATACGTCCAACCATCATCAACATTACAACCAGTTCCAGTTGTCACTGCAGTCCCACCAGTCTACAATCAGTCCACCACACAATCCACATCGACCACCACTCAAACACCACTCATTACAACACAATACGTCCAACCATCATCAACATTACAACCAGTTCCAATTGTCACGTCCAACAAATCAAGCGACGCTGAATATAGCATTAATGGAATATTGACGAACACTGAATCTTCAATCTATACAACACAATACGTCCAACCATCATCAACATTACAACCAGTTCCAGTTGTCACTGCAGTCCCACCAGTCTACAATCAGTCCACCACACAATCCACATCGACCACCACTCAAACACCACTCATTACAACACAATACGTCCAACCATCATCAACATTACAACCAGTTCCAATTGTCACGTCCAACAAATCAAGCGACGCTGAATATAGCATTAATGGAATATTGACGAACACTGAATCTTCAATCTATACAACACACAATCCACATCGAGTTCCAGTTGTCACTGCAGTCCCACCAGTCTACAATCAGTCCACCACACAATCCACATCGACCACCACTCAAACACCACTCATTACAACACAATACGTCCAACCATCATCAACATTACAACCAGTTCCAATTGTCACGTCCAACAAATCAAGCGACGCTGAATATAGCATTAATGGAATATTGACGAACACTGAATCTTCAATCTATACAACACAATACGTCCAACCATCATCAACATTACAACCAGTTCCAGTTGTCACTGCAGTCCCACCAGTCTACAATCAGTCCACCACACAATCCACATCGACCACCACTCAAACACCACTCATTACAACACAATACGTCCAACCATCATCAACATTACAACCAGTTCCAATTGTCACGTCCAACAAATCAAGCGACGCTGAATATAGCATTAATGGAATATTGACGAACACTGAATCTTCAATCTATACAACACAATACGTCCAACCATCATCAACATTACAACCAGTTCCAGTTGTCACTGCAGTCCCACCAGTCTACAATCAGTCCACCACACAATCCACATCGACCACCACTCAAACACCACTCATTACAACACAATACGTCCAACCATCATCAACATTACAACCAGTTCCAATTGTCACGTCCAACAAATCAAGCGACGCTGAATATAGCATTAATGGAATATTGACGAACACTGAATCTTCAATCTATACAACACAATACGTCCAACCATCATCAACATTACAACCAGTTCCAGTTGTCACTGCAGTCCCACCAGTCTACAATCAGTCCACCACACAATCCACATCGACCACCACTCAAACACCACTCATTACAACACAATACGTCCAACCATCATCAACATTACAACCAGTTCCAATTGTCACGTCCAACAAATCAAGCGACGCTGAATATAGCATTAATGGAATATTGACGAACACTGAATCTTCAATCTATACAACACAATACGTCCAACCATCATCAACATTACAACCAGTTCCAATTGTCACTGCAGTCCCACCAGTCTACAATCAGTCCACCACACAATCCACATCGACCACCACTCAAACACCACTCATTACAACACAATACGTCCAACCATCATCAACATTACAACCAGTTCCAATTGTCACGTCCAACAAATCAAGCGACGCTGAATATAGCATTAATGGAATATTGACGAACACTGAATCTTCAATCTATACAACACAATACGTCCAACCATCATCAACATTACAACCAGTTCCAGTTGTCACTGCAGTCCCACCAGTCTACAATCAGTCCACCACACAATCCACATCGACCACCACTCAAACACCACTCATTACAACACAATACGTCCAACCATCATCAACATTACAACCAGTTCCAATTGTCACGTCCAACAAATCAAGCGACGCTGAATATAGCATTAATGGAATATTGACGAACACTGAATCTTCAATCTATACAACACAATACGTCCAACCATCATCAACATTACAACCAGTTCCAGTTGTCACTGCAGTCCCACCAGTCTACAATCAGTCCACCACACAATCCACATCGACCACCACTCAAACACCACTCATTACAACACAATACGTCCAACCATCATCAACATTACAACCAGTTCCAATTGTCACGTCCAACAAATCAAGCGACGCTGAATATAGCATTAATGGAATATTGACGAACACTGAATCTTCAATCTATACAACACAATACGTCCAACCATCATCAACATTACAACCAGTTCCAGTTGTCACTGCAGTCCCACCAGTCTACAATCAGTCCACCACACAATCCACATCGACCACCACTCAAACACCACTCATTACAACACAATACGTCCAACCATCATCAACATTACAACCAGTTCCAATTGTCACGTCCAACAAATCAAGCGACGCTGAATATAGCATTAATGGAATATTGACGAACACTGAATCTTCAATCTATACAACACAATACGTCCAACCATCATCAACATTACAACCAGTTCCAGTTGTCACTGCAGTCCCACCAGTCTACAATCAGTCCACCACACAATCCACATCGACCACCACTCAAACACCACTCATTACAACACAATACGTCCAACCATCATCAACATTACAACCAGTTCCAATTGTCACGTCCAACAAATCAAGCGACGCTGAATATAGCATTAATGGAATATTGACGAACACTGAATCTTCAATCTATACAACACAATACGTCCAACCATCATCAACATTACAACCAGTTCCAGTTGTCACTGCAGTCCCACCAGTCTACAATCAGTCCACCACACAATCCACATCGACCACCACTCAAACACCACTCATTACAACACAATACGTCCAACCATCATCAACATTACAACCAGTTCCAATTGTCACGTCCAACAAATCAAGCGACGCTGAATATAGCATTAATGGAATATTGACGAACACTGAATCTTCAATCTATACAACACAATACGTCCAACCATCATCAACATTACAACCAGTTCCAGTTGTCACTGCAGTCCCACCAGTCTACAATCAGTCCACCACACAATCCACATCGACCACCACTCAAACACCACTCATTACAACACAATACGTCCAACCATCATCAACATTACAACCAGTTCCAATTGTCACGTCCAACAAATCAAGCGACGCTGAATATAGCATTAATGGAATATTGACTAACACTGAATCTTCAATCTATACAACACAATACGTCCAACCATCATCAACATTACAACCAGTTCCAGTTGTCACTGCAGTCCCACCAGTCTACAATCAGTCCACCACACAATCCACATCGACCACCACTCAAACACCACTCATTACAACACAATACGTCCAACCATCATCAACATTACAACCAGTTCCAATTGTCACGTCCAACAAATCAAGCGACGCTGAATATAGCATTAATGGAATATTGACGAACACTGAATCTTCAATCTATACAACACAATACGTCCAACCATCATCAACATTACAACCAGTTCCAGTTGTCACTGCAGTCCCACCAGTCTACAATCAGTCCACCACACAATCCACATCGACCACCACTCAAACACCACTCATTACAACACAATACGTCCAACCATCATCAACATTACAACCAGTTCCAATTGTCACGTCCAACAAATCAAGCGACGCTGAATATAGCATTAATGGAATATTGACGAACACTGAATCTTCAATCTATACAACACAATACGTCCAACCATCATCAACATTACAACCAGTTCCAATTGTCACTGCAGTCCCACCAGTCTACAATCAGTCCACCACACAATCCACATCGACCACCACTCAAACACCACTCATTACAACACAATACGTCCAACCATCATCAACATTACAACCAGTTCCAATTGTCACGTCCAACAAATCAAGCGACGCTGAATATAGCATTAATGGAATATTGACGAACACTGAATCTTCAATCTATACAACACAATACGTCCAACCATCATCAACATTACAACCAGTTCCAGTTGTCACTGCAGTCCCACCAGTCTACAATCAGTCCACCACACAATCCACATCGACCACCACTCAAACACCACTCATTACAACACAATACGTCCAACCATCATCAACATTACAACCAGTTCCAATTGTCACGTCCAACAAATCAAGCGACGCTGAATATAGCATTAATGGAATATTGACGAACACTGAATCTTCAATCTATACAACACAATACGTCCAACCATCATCAACATTACAACCAGTTCCAGTTGTCACTGCAGTCCCACCAGTCTACAATCAGTCCACCACACAATCCACATCGACCACCACTCAAACACCACTCATTACAACACAATACGTCCAACCATCATCAACATTACAACCAGTTCCAATTGTCACGTCCAACAAATCAAGCGACGCTGAATATAGCATTAATGGAATATTGACGAACACTGAATCTTCAATCTATACAACACAATACGTCCAACCATCATCAACATTACAACCAGTTCCAGTTGTCACTGCAGTCCCACCAGTCTACAATCAGTCCACCACACAATCCACATCGACCACCACTCAAACACCACTCATTACAACACAATACGTCCAACCATCATCAACATTACAACCAGTTCCAATTGTCACGTCCAACAAATCAAGCGACGCTGAATATAGCATTAATGGAATATTGACGAACACTGAATCTTCAATCTATACAACACAATACGTCCCAACCATCATCAACATTACAACCAGTTCCAGTTGTCACTGCAGTCCCACCAGTCTACAATCAGTCCACCACACAATCCACATCGACCACCACTCAAACACCACTCATTACAACACAATACGTCCAACCATCATCAACATTACAACCAGTTCCAATTGTCACGTCAACCAAATCAAGCGACGCTGAATAATAGCATTAATGGAATATTGACGAACACTGAATCTTCAATCTATACAACACAATACGTCCAACCATCATCAACATTACAACCAGTTCCAGTTGTCACTGCAGTCCCACCAGTCTACAATCAGTCCACCACACAATCCACATCGACCACCACTCAAACACCACTCATTACAACACAATACGTCCAACCATCATCAACATTACAACCAGTTCCAATTGTCACGTCCAACAAATCAAGCGACGCTGAATATAGCATTAATGGAATATTGACGAACACTGAATCTTCAATCTATACAACACAATCGTCCAACCATCATCACATTACAACCAGTTCCAGTTGTCACTGCAGTCCCACCAGTCTACAATCAGTCCACCACACAATCCACATCGACCACCACTCAAACACCACTCATTACAACACAATACGTCCAACCATCATCAACATTACAACCAGTACCAATTGTCACGTCCAACAAATCAAGCGACGCTGAATATAGCATTAATGGAATATTGACGAACACTGAATCTTCAATCTATACAACACAATACGTCCAACCATCATCAACATTACAACCAGTTCCAGTTGTCACTGCAGTCCCACCAGTCTACAATCAGTCCACCACACAATCCACATCGACCACCACTCAACACCACTCATTACAACACAATACGTCCAACCATCATCAACATTACAACCAGTTCCAGTTGTCACGTCCAACAAATCAAAGCGACGCTGAATATAGCATTATGGAATATTGACGAACACTGAATCTTCAATCTATACAACACAATACGCCAACCATCATCACATTACAAACCATTCCAGTTGTCACTGCAGTCCCACCAGTCTACAATCAGTCCACCACACAATCCACATCGACCACCACTCAAACACCACCATTACAACACAATACGTCCAACCATCATCAACATTACAACCAGTTCCAATTGTCACGTCCAACAAATCAAGCGACGCTGAATATAGCATTAATGGAATATTGACGACCACTGAAACCTCAAGCTATACAACTCATACGTCCAACCATCATCAACATTACAACCAGTTCCAATTGTCACTGCAGTCCCCACCAGTCTACAATCAGTCCACCACACAATCCACATCGACCACCACTCAAACACCACTCATTACAACACAATACGTCCAACCATCATCAACATACAACCAGTTCCAATTGGTCACGTCCAACAATCAAGCGACGCTGCATATAGCATTAATGGAATATTGACGAACACTAAATCTTCAATCTATACAACACAATAACGTCCAAACATCATCAACATTACAACCAGTTCCAGATTGTCACTGCAGTCCACCAGTCTACAATCAGTCCACCACACAACCACATCGACCACCACTCAAACACCACTCATTACAACACAATACGTCCAACCATCATCAACATTACAAACCAGTTCCAATTGTCACGTCCACAAATCAAGCGACGCTGAATATAGCATTAATCGGAATAATTGACGAACACTGAATCTTCAATCTATACAACACAATACGGTCCAACCATCATCAACATTACAACCAGTTCCAGTTGTCACTGCAGTTCCCACCAGTCTACAATCAGTCCACCACACAATCCACTTCGACCCACCACTCAAACACCACTCATTACAACACAATACGTCAACCATCATCAACATTACAACCAGTTCCAATTGTCACGTCAACAAATCAAGCGACGCTGAATATAGCATTTAATGGAATATGACGACCACTCAATCAACAATCTATACAACACAATACGTCCAACCATCATCAACCATTACAACCAGTTCCAGTTGTCACTGCAGTCCCACCAGTCTACAATCAGTCCACCACACAATCCACATCGACCACCACTCAAACACCACTCATTACAACACAATACGTCCAACCATCATCAACATTACAACCAGTTCCAGTTGTCACTGCAGTCCCACCAAATCAAGCGACGCTGATATAGCATTAATGGAATATTGACGACTCTGAATCTTCAATCTATACAACACAATACGTCCAACCATCTCATCTTACAACCAGTTCCAGTTGTCACTGCAGTCCCACCAGTCTACAATCAGTCCACCACACAATCCACATCGACCACCACTCAAACACCACTCATTACAACACAATACGTCCAACCATCATCAACATTACAACCAGTTCCAATTGTCACGTCCAACAAATCAAGCGACGCTGAATATAGCATTAATGGAATATTGACGAACACTGAATCTTCAATCTATACAACACAATACGTCCAACCATCATCAACATTACAACCAGTTTCCAGTGGTCACTGCAGTCCCACCAGTCTACAATCAGTCCACCACACAATCCACATCGACCACCACTCAAACACCACTCATTACAACACAATACGTCCAACCATCATCAACATTACAACCAGTACCAGTGGACACGGCCAACAAATCAAGCGACGCTGGAATATAGCATTAATGGAATATTGACGAACACTGAATCTTCAATCTATACAACACAATACGTCCAACATCATCAACATTACAACCAGTTCCAGTTGTCACTGCAGTCCCACCAGTCTATCAATCAGTCCACCACACAATCGCACATCGACCACAGCTCAAAACACCACACATTACAACACCAATACGTCCAAACCATCATCAACATTACAACCAGTTTCCAATTGTCACGTCCAACAAATCAAGCGACGCTGATTATAGCATTAATGGAATATTGACGAATCACTGAATCTTCAATCTATACAACACAATACGTCCAACCATCATCAACATTCAACCAGTTCCAGTTGTCACTGCAGTCCCACCGTCTACAATCAGTCCAACCACACAATCCACATCGACCACCACTCAAACACCACTCATTACAACACAAAGACGTCCAACCATCATCAACATTACAACCAGTTCCAATTGTCATCGGTCCAACAAATCAAGCGACGCTGAATATAGCATTAATGGAATATTGTCGAACACTGAATCTTCAATCTATACAACACATACGTCCAACCATCATCAACATTACAACCAGTTCCAGTTGTCACTGCAGTCCCACCAGTCTACAATCAGTCCACCACACAATCCACATCGACCACCACTCAAACACCACTCATTACAACACAATACGTCCAACCATCATCAACATTACAACCAGTTCCAATTGTCACGCCCAACAAATCAAGCGACGCTGAATATAGCATTAATGGAATATTGACGAACACTGAATCTTCAATCTATACAACACAATACGTCCAACCATCATCAACATTACAACCAGTTCCAGTTGTCACTGCAGTCCCACCAGTCTACAATCAGTCCACCACACAATCCACATCGACCACCACTCAAACACCACTCATTACAACACAATACGTCCAACCATCATCAACATTACAACCAGTTCCAATTGTCACGTCCAACAAATCAAGCGACGCTGAATATAGCATTAATGGAATATTGACGAACACTGAATCTTCAATCTATACAACACAATACGTCCAACCATCATCAACATTACAACCAGTTCCAGTTGTCACTGCAGTCCCACCAGTCTACAATCAGTCCACCACACAATCCACATCGGACCACCACTCAAACACCACTCATTACAACACAATACGTCCAACCATCATCAACATTACAACCAGTTCCAATTGTCACGTCCAACAAAATCAAGCGACGCTGAATATAGCATTAATGGAATATGACGAACACTGAATCTTCAATCTATACAACACAATACGTCAACCATCATCAACATTACAACCAGTTCCAGTTGTCACTGCAGTCCCACCAGTCTACAATCAGTCCACCACACAATCCACATCGACCACCACTCAAACACCACTCATTACAACACAATACGTCCAACCATCATCAACATTACAACCAGTTCCAATTGTCACGTCCAACAAATCAAGCGACGCTGATTATAGCATTAATGGAATATTGACGAACACTGAATCTTCAATCTATACAACACAATACGTCCAACCATCATCAACATTACAACCAGTTCCAGTTGTCACTGCAGTCCCACCAGTCTACAATCAGTCCACCACACAATCCACATCGACCACCACTCAAACACCACTCATTACAACACAATACGTCCAACCATCATCAACATTACAACCAGTTCCAGTTGTCACGTCCAACAAATCAAGCGACGCTGAATATAGCATTAATGGAATATTGACGAACACTGAATCTTCAATCTATACAACACAATACGTCCAACCATCATCAACATTACAACCAGTTCCAGTTGTCACTGCAGTCCCACCAGTCTACAATCAGTCCACCACACAATCCACATCGACCACCACTCAAACACCACTCATTACAACACAATACGTCCAACCATCATCAACATTACAACCAGTTCCAATTGTCACGTCCAACAAATCAAGCGACGCTGAATATAGCATTAATGGAATATTGACGAACACTGAATCTTCAATCTATACAACACAATACGTCCAACCATCATCAACATTACAACCAGTTCCAGTTGTCACTGCAGTCCCACCAGTCTACAATCAGTCCACCACACAATCCACATCGACCACCACTCAAACACCACTCATTACAACACAATACGTCCAACCATCATCAACATTACAACCAGTTCCAGTTGTCACGTCCAACAAATCAAGCGACGCTGAATATAGCATTAATGGAATATTGACGAACACTGAATCTTCAATCTATACAACACAATACGTCCAACCATCATCAACATTACAACCAGTTCCAGTTGTCACTGCAGTCCCACCAGTCTACAATCAGTCCACCACACAATCCACATCGACCACCACTCAAACACCACTCATTACAACACAATACGTCAACCATCATCAACATTACAACCAGTTCCAATTGTCACGTCCAACAAATCAAGCGACGCTGAATATAGCATTAATGGAATATTGACGAACACTGAATCTTCAATCTATACAACACAATACGTCCAACCATCATCAACATTACAACCAGTTCCAATTGTCACTGCAGTCCCACCAGTCTACAATCAGTCCACCACACAACCCACATCGACCACCACTCAAACACCACTCATTACAACACAATACGTCCAACCATCATCAACATTACAACCAGTTCCAATTGTCACGTCCAACAAATCAAGCGACGCTGAATATAGCATTAATGGAATATTGACGAACACTGAATCTTCAATCTATACAACACAATACGTCCAACCATCATCAACATTACAACCAGTTCCAGTTGTCACTGCAGTCCCACCAGTCTACAATCAGTCCACCACACAATCCACATCGACCACCACTCAAACACCACTCATTACAACACAATACGTCCAACCATCATCAACATTACAACCAGTTCCAATTGTCACGTCCAACAAATCAAGCGACGCTGAATATAGCATTAATGGAATATTGACGAACACTGAATCTTCAATCTATACAACACAATACGTCCAACCATCATCAACATTACAACCAGTTCCAGTTGTCACTGCAGTCCCACCAGTCTACAATCAGTCCACCACACAATCCACATCGACCACCACTCAAACACCACTCATTACAACACAAATACGTCCAACCATCATCAACATTACAACCAGTTCCAATTGTCACGTCCAACAAATCAAGCGACGCTGAATATAGCATTAATGGAATATTGACGAACACTGAAATCTTCAATCTATACAACACAATACGTCCAACCATCATCAACATTACAACCAGTTCCAATTGTCACTGCAGTCCACCAGTCTACAATCAGTCCACCACACAATCCACATCGACCACCACTCAACTCCACTCATTACAACACAATACCGTCCAACCATCATCAACATTACAACCAGTTCCAATTGTCACGTCCAACAAATCAAGCGACGCTGAATATAGCATTATGGAATCTTGACGAACACTGAATCTTCAATCTATACAACACACTACGTCCAACCATCATCAACATTACAACCAGTTCCAGTTGTCACTGCAGTCCCACCAGTCTACAATCAGTCCACCACACAATCCACATCGACCACCACTCAAACACCACTCATTACAACACAATACGTCCAACCATCATCAACATTACAACCAGTTCCAATTGTCACGTCCAACAAATCAAGCGACGCTGAATATAGCATTAATGGAATATTGACGAACACTGAATCTTCAATCTATACAACACAATACGTCCACCATCATCAACATTACAACCAGTTCCAGTTGTCACTGCAGTCCGCCAGTCTACAATCAGTCCACCACACAATCCACATCGACCACCACTCAAACACACTCATTACAACACAATACGTCCAACCATCATCAACATTACAACCAGTTCCAATTGTCACGTCCAACAAATCAAGCGACGCTGAATATAGCATTAATGGAATATTGACGAACACTGATATCTTCAATCTATACAACACAATACGTCCAACCATCATCAACATTACACACCAGTTCCAGTTGTCACTGCAGTCCCACCAGTCTACAATCAGTCCACCACACAATCCACATCGACCACCACTCAAACACCACTCATTACAACACAATACGTCCAACCATCATCAACATTACAACCAGTTCCAATTGTCACGTCCAACAAATCAAGCGACGCTGAATATAGCATTAATGGAATATTGACGAACACTGAATCTTCAATCTATACAACACAATACGTCCAACCATCATCAACATTACAACCAGTTCCAGTTGTCACTGCAGTCCCACCATCTACAATCAGTCCACCACACAATCCACATCGACCACCACTCAAACACCACTCATTACAACACAATACGTCCAACCATCATCAACATTACAACCAGTTCCAATTGTCACGTCCAACAAATCAAGCGACGCTGAATATAGCATTAATGGAATATTGACGAACACTGAAATCTTCAATCTATACAACACAATACGTCCAACCATCATCAACATTACAACCAGTTCCAGTTGTCACTGCAGTCCCACCAGTCTACAATCAGTCCACCACACAATCCACATCGACCACCACTCAAACATCCTCCCATTTGTTCACTCGTCCAACCATCATCAACATTACAACCAGTTCCAATTGTCACGTCCAACAAATCAAGCGACGCTGAATATAGCATTAATGGAATATTGACGAACACATTCAATCTATACAACACAATAACGTCCAACCATCATCAACATTACAACCAGTTCCAGTTGTCACTGCAGTCCCACCAGTCCTACAATCAGTCCACCACACAATCCACATCGACCACCACTCAAACACACTCATTACAACACAATACGTCCAACCATCATTCAACATTACAACCAGTTCCAATTGTCACGTCCAACAAATCAAGCGACGCTGAATATAGCATTAAAGGAATATTGGACGAACACTGAAATCTTCAATCTATACACACAATACGTCCAACCATCATCAACATTACAACCAGTCCAGTTTCGTCACTGGCAGTCCCACCAGTCTACAATCAGTCCACCACACAAATCAGACCACCACTCAAACACCACTCATTACAACACAATACGTCCAACCATCATCAACATTACAACCAGTTCCAATTGTCACGTCCAACAAATCAAGCGACGCTGAATATAGCATTAATGGAATATTGACGAACACTGAATCTTCAATCTATACAACACAATACGTCCAACCATCATCAACATTACAACCAGTTTCCAGTTGTCACTGCAGTCCCACCAGTCTACAATCAGTCCACCACACAATCCACATCGACCACCACTCAAACACCACTCATTACAACACAATACGTCCAACCATCATCAACATTACAACCAGTTCCAGTTGTCACGTCCAACAAATCAAGCGACGCTGAATATAGCATTAATGGAATATTGACGAACACTGAATCTTCAATCTATACAACACAATACGTCCAACCATCATCAACATTACAACCAGTTCCAGTTGTCACTGCAGTCCCACCAGTCTACAATCAGTCCACCACACAATCCACATCGACCACCACTCAAACACCACTCATTACAACACAATACGTCCAACCATCATCAACATTACAACCAGTTCCAATTGTCACGTCCAACAAATCAAGCGACGCTGAATATAGCATTAATGGAATATTGACGAACACTGAATCTTCAATCTATACAACACAATACGTCCAACCATCATCAACATTACAACCAGTTCCAGTTGTCACTGCAGTCCCACCAGTCTACAATCAGTCCACCACACAATCCACATCGACCACCACTCAAACACCACTCATTACAACACAATACGTCCAACCATCATCAACATTACAACCAGTTCCAATTGTCACGTCCAACAAATCAAGCGACGCTGAATATAGCATTAATGGAATATTGACGAACACTGAATCTTCAATCTATACAACACAATACGTCCAACCATCATCAACATTACAACCAGTTCCAGTTGTCACTGCAGTCCCACCAGTCTACAATCAGTCCACCACACAATCCACATCGACCACCACTCAAACACCACTCATTACAACACAATACGTCCAACCATCATCAACATTACAACCAGTTCCAATTGTCACGTCCAACAAATCAAGCGACGCTGAATATAGCATTAATGGAATATTGACGAACACTGAATCTTCAATCTATACAACACAATACGTCCAACCATCATCAACATTACAACCAGTTCCAGTTGTCACTGCAGTCCCACCAGTCTACAATCAGTCCACCACACAATCCACATCGACCACCACTCAAACACCACTCATTACAACACAATACGTCCAACCATCATCAACATTACAACCAGTTCCAATTGTCACGTCCAACAAATCAAGCGACGCTGAATATAGCATTAATGGAATATTGACGAACACTGAATCTTCAATCTATACAACACAATACGTCCAACCATCATCAACATTACAACCAGTTCCAGTTGTCACTGCAGTCCCACCAGTCTACAATCAGTCCACCACACAATCCACATCGACCACCACTCAAACACCACTCATTACAACACAATACGTCCAACCATCATCAACATTACAACCAGTTCCAATTGTCACGTCCAACAAATCAAGCGACGCTGAATATAGCATAATGGAATATTGACGAACACTGAATCTTCAATCTATACAACACATACGTCCAACCATCATCAACATTACAACCAGTTCCAGTTGTCACTGCAGTCCCACCAGTCTACAATCAGTCCACCACACAATCCACATCGACCACCAATCAAACACCACTCATTACAACACAATACGTCCAACCATCATCAACATTACAACCAGTTCCATTGTCACGTCCAACAAATCAAGCGACGCTGAATATAGCATTAATGGAATATTGACGAACACTGAATCTTCAATCTATACAACACAATACGTCCAACCATCATCAACATTACAACCAGTTCCAGTTGTCCACTGCAGTCCCACCAGTCTACAATCAGTCCACCACACAATCCACATCGACCACCACTCAAACACCACTCATTACAACACAATACGTCCAACCATCATCAACATTACAACCAGTTCCAATTGTCACGTCAACAAATCAAGCGACGCTTGAATATAGCATTAATGGAATATTGACGAACACTGAATCTTCAATCTATACAACACAATACGTCCAACCATCATCAACATTACAACCAGTTCCAGTTGTCACTGCAGTCCCACCAGTCTACAATCAGTCCACCACACAATCCACATCGACCACCACTCAAACACCACTCATTACAACACAATACGTCCAACCATCATCAACATTACAACCAGTTCCAATTGTCACGTCCAACAAATCAAGCGACGCTGAATATAGCATTAATGGAATATTGACGAACACTGAATCTTCAATCTATACAACACAATACGTCCAACCATCATCACATTACAACCAGTTCCAGTTGTCACGGCAGTCCCACCAGTCTACAATCAGTCCACCACACAATCCACATCGACCACCACTCAAACACCACTCATTACAACACAATTACGTCCAACCATCATCAACATTACAACCAGTTCCAATTGTCACGTCCAACAAATCAAGCGACGCTGAATATAGCATTAATGGAATATTGACGAACACTGAATCTTCAATCTATACAACACAATTACGTCCAACCATCATCAACATTACAACCAGTTCCAGTTGTCACTGCAGTCCCACCAGTCTACATCAGTCCACCACACAATCCACATCGACCACCACTCAAACACCACTCATTACAACACAATACGTCCAACCATCATCAACATTACAACCAGTTCCAATTGTCACGTCCAACAAATCAAGCGACGCTGAATATAGCATTAATGGAATATTGACGAACACTGAATCTTCAATCTATACAACACAATACGTCCAACCATCATCAACATTACAACCAGTTCCAGTTGTCACTGCAGTCCCACCAGTCTACAATCAGTCCACCACACAACCCACATCGACCACCACTCAAACACCACTCATTACAACACAATACGTCCAACCATCATCAACATTACAACCAGTTCCAATTGTCACGTCCAACAAATCAAGCGACGCTGAATATAGCATTAATGGAATATTGACGAACACTGAATCTTCAATCTATACAACACAATACGTCCAACCATCATCAACATTACAACCAGTTCCAGTTGTCACTGCAGTCCCACCAGTCTACAATCAGTCCACCACACAATCCACATCGACCACCACTCAAACACCACTCATTACAACACAATACGTCCAACCATCATCAACATTACAACCAGTTCCAATTGTCACGTCCAACAAATCAAGCGACGCTGAATATAGCATTAATGGAATATTGACGAACACTGAATCTTCAATCTATACAACACAATACGTCCAACCATCATCAACATTACAACCAGTTCCAATTGTCACTGCAGTCCCACCAGTCTACAATCAGTCCACCACACAATCCACATCGACCACCACTCAAACACCACTCATTACAACACAATACGTCCAACCATCATCAACATTACAACCAGTTCCAATTGTCACGTCCAACAAATCAAGCGACGCTGAATATAGCATTAATGGAATATTGACGAACACTCAATCTTCAATCTATACAACACAATACGTCCAACCATCATCAACATTACAACCAGTTCCAATTGTCACTGCAGTCCCACCAGTCTACAATCAGTCCACCACACAATCCACATCGACCACCACTCAAACACCACTCATTACAACACAATACGTCCAACCATCATCAACATTACAACCAGTTCCAATTGTCACGTCCAACAAATCAAGCGACGCTGAATATAGCATTAATGGAATATTGACGAACACTGAATCTTCAATCTATACAACACAATACGTCCAACCATCATCAACATTACAACCAGTTCCAGTTGTCACTGCAGTCCCACCAGTCTACAATCAGTCCACCACACAATCCACATCGACCACCACTCAAACACCACTCATTACAACACAATACGTCCAACCATCATCAACATTACAACCAGTTCCAATTGTCACGTCCAACAAATCAAGCGACGCTGAATATAGCATTAATGGAATATTGACGAACACTGAATCTTCAATCTATACAACACAATACGTCCAACCATCATCAACATTACAACCAGTTCCAGTTGTCACTGCAGTCCACCAGTCTACAATCAGTCCACCACACAATCCACATCGACCACCACTCAAACACCACTCATTACAACACAATACGTCCAACCATCATCAACATTACAACCAGTTCCAATTGTCACGTCCAACAAATCAAGCGACGCTGAATATAGCATTAATGGAATATTGACGAACACTGAATCTTCAATCTATACAACACAATACGTCCAACCATCATCAACATTACAACCAGTTCCAGTTGTCACTGCAGTCCCACCAGTCTACAATCAGTCCACCACACAATCCACATCGACCACCACTCAAACACCACTCATTACAACACAATACGTCCAACCATCATCAACATTACAACCAGTTCCAATTGTCACGTCCAACAAATCAAGCGACGCTGAATATAGCATTAATGGAATATTGACGAACACTGAATCTTCAATCTATACAACACAATACGTCCAACCATCATCAACATTACAACCAGTTCCAGTTGTCACTGCAGTCCCACCAGTCTACAATCAGTCCACCACACAATCCACATCGACCACCACTCAAACACCACTCATTACAACACAATACGTCCAACCATCATCAACATTACAACCAGTTCCAATTGTCACGTCCAACAAATCAAGCGACGCTGAATATAGCATTAATGGAATATTGACGAACACTGAATCTCAATCTATACAACACAATACGTCCAACCATCATCAACATTACAACCAGTTCCAGTTGTCACTGCAGTCCCACCAGTCTACAATCAGTCCACCACACAATCCACATCGACCACCACTCAAACACCACTCATTACAACACAATACGTCCAACCATCATCAACATTACAACCAGTTCCAATTGTCACGTCCAACAAATCAAGCGACGCTGAATATAGCATTAATGGAATATTGACGAAGACTGAACTTTCAATCTATACAACACAATACGTCCAACCATCATCAACATTACAACCAGTTCCAGTTGTCACTGCAGTCCCACCAGTCTACAATCAGTCCACCACACAATCCACATCGACCACCACTCAAACACCACTCATTACAACACAATACGTCCAACCATCATCAACATTACAACCAGTTCCAATTGTCACGTCCAACAAATCAAGCGACGCTGAATATAGCATTAATGGAATATTGACGAACACTGAATCTTCAATCTATACAACACAATAACGTCCAACCATCATCACCATTACAACCAGTTCCAGTTGTCACTGCAGTCACACCAGTCTACAATCAGTCACCACACAATCACATCGCCACCACTCAAACACCAATCATTACAACACAATACGTCCCACCATCATCAACATTACAACCAGTTCCAATTGTCACGTCCAACAATCAAGCGACGCTGAATATAGCATTAATGGAATTATGACGAACACTGGAATCTTCATCTATACAACACAATACGTCAACCATCATCAACATTACAACCAGTTCCAGTTGTCACTGCAGTCCCACCAGTCTACAATCAGTCCACCACACAATCACATCGACCACCACTCAAACACCACTCATTACAACACAATACGTCCAACCATCATCAACATAAACAGTTCCAATTGTCACGTCCAACAAATCAAGCGACGCTGAATATAGCATTAATGGAATATTGACGAACACTGAATCTTCAATCTATACAACACAATACGTCCAACCATCATCAACATTACAACCAGTTCCAATTGTCACTGCAGTCCCACCAGTCTACAATCAGTCCACCACACAATCCACATCGACCACCACTCAAACACCACTCATTACAACACAATACGTCCAACCATCATCAACATTACAACCAGTTCCAATTGTCACGTCCAACAAATCAAGCGACGCTGAATATAGCATTAATGGAATATTGACGAACACTGAATCTTCAATCTATACAACACAATACGTCCAACCATCATCAACATTACAACCAGTTCCAGTTGTCACTGCAGTCCCACCAGTCTACAATCAGTCCACCACACAATCCACATCGACCACCACTCAAACACCACTCATTACAACACAATACGTCCAACCATCATCAACATTACAACCAGTTCCAATTGTCACGTCCAACAAATCAAGCGACGCTGAATATAGCATTAATGGAATATTGACGAACACTGAATCTTCAATCTATACAACACAATACGTCCAACCATCATCAACATTACAACCAGTTCCAGTTGTCACTTGCAGTCCCACCAGTCTACAATCAGTCCACCACACAATCCACATCGACCACCACTCAAACACCACTCATTACAACACAATACGTCCAACCATCATCAACATTACAACCAGTTCCAATTGTCACGTCCAACAAATCAAGCGACGCTGAATATAGCATTAATGGAATATTGACGAACACTGAATCTTCAATCTATACAACACAATACGTCCAACCATCATCAACATTACAACCAGTTCCAGTTGTCACTGCAGTCCCACCAGTCTACAATCAGTCCACCACACAATCCACATCGACCACCACTCAAACACCACTCATTACAACACAATACGTCCAACCATCATCAACATTCCAACCTTTTCCTTTCGTTAGTTCTCTCCCACTCAGCTCTAATCAAGCTACCTCAATATTGTTTTCTTCTGATTTTTATTCAGATGATGAATTTTCTTATGATTCATCTCCGGATGTTTTTTCATCAAATGATGATCTTTTTATTGTTCCAAATATTTCTGATTTTGGTTTGCTTACTCCTGATATTGATTTTCCTAATTTCAAGTATGATACTTCATTTAATCCCGTTTCTTTTGATTCTCAATTTGATTATTTTTTATCTTCTAGATTACCTGTTTTTGGCAATTCATATGATGATAATTACAACAATTGTCATCCTATTCACGAGAATGACTGTCATTCATTGAAGAATTATATTCCTTTCTATGATTATAACAAAATAATAATATTGAGATTATTTAAATGTTGTCAACATCTTTATTCATGTAATACGGAAAATTGTCATAACAATGTTTTTGTGAAACAATTATGTGATAAATATTTTCAATATTAAAATGGATTGTCTTATATTTTGATCTTATAATAATCTTGAATGTTTAATTACAACCTACTTCATGTGGAAATTTACACCTTGGTTGTTTAATTTTTGTTCTCTTTCTAATCCATTTTGAAGAATTAATGATGTTTACAAAGTGTTTTCTTTTGAAAGGTTTACTTGAAATTTTACAATTATCATCTGCAGTTCAAATAATTGAATTGTTTTATTCAATTGGTTCCCTTTATTTAATTATGACAAATAAATCAATATTTTATTCATGTAAAATTGGATATGAGCCATAAAAGTTATTCGATTTATGTGAGGGCTAGGTGGTTTTCTTAGGGGGCCACACGTGGAGTCTTCAATCTAAATGCCTTATCCACAAGGCAGTGAAGCAACATCAGGAAATGCAGTTGCATGGTAGCCAGTGACCAACAATAAGTTCATACACCATTTATTCCCTCAGTATACTGGAAATCATGTGTACTATTGGTTGTGAATTACGGTTTTCTAACTCCCTTAGATGGATCCTCCGTGTCCACGAACACGGTTAAAGCGCCGGGCATTCACTTTTCGTTCTCTCAATTTCGTAGACTTAACATTCGGCGAGAGAAGGCAGTTAGTAGGATTTCCCTGTCAGTGGTTGTATACGCTTGGCCATGTGAGAGTATTTCGGGAGGGAAAGCGGACTATTCTCAATATCGGCCATGCCAGGAGATTTGAGGGGCGATATAAGAATTTCCAATTTCACTGATGATGATTTCCTTTGTCGTGATTCTGTTCATTCTTATTTTGATGATGATTCTTCTGTTAAGTTACCTACTGATATCAGTTCAATCGAAGTATATTTCCAGTTTATATCTAGTCTTTTATTCATTAATTTTCAACTCAATTTTTTTATAATATAGCTGTATAGATGTATAGTGATATTGACACATTTAATATTATTGATATCTTAGTTGTTTAGTTCACATCTATAATAATAATTTCTTTGTTTGTATCAAAAGTGGTTTTGTGGATAGACTAATAGGTCCTGGGTCATTGAAACTGCACAAAGTACTTCAATGATTTCAGATTTTTCATTGAGTATTTACTTTATTCTACCTAATGTTTTCTAGATATTTAAGTATAAGATTAAGAGAATAAACAAACATTTATTATTTATCCGTACTTCTACTTTAGAAGAAATTTATCTCTCTAAACAAATAGTTCAATTAGTACTAAATATTGAAACTGATATCGTTAGTAATCATGAACTTAAATAATGCCTGCCAAGTTTATAGTTGACTCATACTTTCAACTAGTGATATTTTGCCAGTCTCAGCTCAACAAGAAGACGACGAATTTACTATGTGCAACTAGAAATGATGCACATCCCAACATCAGGATAATATGTACTATTTTAGAATACATACTGACTAACTTTTGAATTGTTAAAATTAACGAAGAACAAATTTAAACAGTTGCTGGTCTGATGACTGGTTCTAATGTAGGGACTAGTCTTCAGCATCAGGAATCAATATTCCATAGACTTTAAAAACTGAGTTTTATTCAGAGAATCAAAAACTTCAAACAGAAGTTGGTTCATTAAACTTTTTTGAACATTTTTTTGGCACTCAAAATCTTTATCCTTTCGGAAAAGTGTAGCGGTCGTTTTGGATTATCAGAAACTTACCAATATGAATTTATCTCACACTTACAACGGATTAATAAACTACCAACAGAGCTTTATTTTAAATTAAACATTCTTTATTCATCTCTTGATAGACTAATTTCGTGGCAACGCAAACACAATTAGTCTAGATACTAGTCTAACGCTGGTTTTAACAAGACGAATAGAATAATCCTGTGAATAACAGTGGTGGCATATTAGGATTCGCTAGCTTCTATTAGTATTAAGGTAAACACATCCGAATCAATAATCCTCACATAAGTCATGACAACTACCAGTATTTTCCTAAAGACGTTTGCAAGATAATGTACCAAGTTATAGAATACTTTGGAGATAATTTATAATAATCTGTTGTGTTTGATAATACTTGCAGGAATCTGTGAAAGTTGAGATTTCCGTTTTTTTGCTCACTGCAAACCATTCGACCACATCACCTAATGGGAGTGTAAATTCGCATGTGAGTTAGCTTACAAACCCCATTCATTTAGTTGGGACGCCACAATATGAACCCTCACTCACATGAAGCTATTATTCAAGCAGTCTTATAATGTAGTAATGTGGTGCATTCTGCTTATGTCGATATAAGTAGTATATAACATCTATGAGAAGTGGGATGCCTAGCAGCAGAAGATTGGCAAGATCGAATCGAAGAGAATAGGAACAGAGAGTAGTAGTTATGAAAATAAAGAAACGATGAAGTTCGAGACAATTGATGAAGAATTCGTAAATGAATTATCGGACGTATGCTTTTCACATTTGACCAAAGAACGTGGAGCTAAAATAATAACAACATTTTCAAAAAGACAAATGGAATCAATGAATTTTAGTTGAGTCGTGAGGTTCTTGGAGCACATAAACAACACCTAGACACAAGAATGTCGGTTTTGTTTTCATTTTACACTTTAGTGTCTCATTTGTATCAGTATTGCCGTTTTCCATGAATATAGTAAAAAGAAAAAGTGAAATTCGATACAACACAAACATTTTAGTTGTTATGATTCTATTCAAATCAATGTTAACACGTTTTATCTAACTTTTATTCTGTTGGCAAACTTTGCAACAACATTGCGTTACCATTTATTAATTACATTTTTGACAAGTTCTCATGTAAGCTTTTCTTTTGCAAGTTGACTAGAAACTAATCAGAGGATTATTTTGACTGTATTTGATTGTTTATTGCACCATGCTCGTACATTCTAACAATGAATAGTAATCAGTATCACCTTTATATGTATGTTGAAGTTTATTGAAAATTCTGAAACCATTGACATAATTGGCCAGCATTCTGACATCCTATCTCTATCAGCACTGGAACTCAAACGACTGTAAATCATGTTTACAAAAGATGTTCAGTTTTAGTTCAATAATGTAATATACCGACAAACTGATGTTGTAACAACAGCAATTCCGTTAGATCCCGTTTTAGCAGACTTTTCATGGCTAATTTCGAATGAACTAGCTCAAAGGAACGATTAGTGAAACGGTGTATTATTCGAGGTACATTGATGACACCTACATCGTCTGTAATAATCTACAGCATTCAACAAATCTACAGAAACTTCTCAACAAAGTTCATACAATATCCAGTTTACTATGGAACATGAAAATGGAAACAAGTTCCATTTTCTCGATATCGTAATAAAACGAAGAAACAATGGCACAGTCCAACGTTCAGCTAATAGAAAAGACACATAGAATGAGATTTGTCTGTTTCAATAGCTTTTGTTCACATTGTTACAAAAAGGCACTGGTTAAAACACTATTTCTTACTTACTTACTTACTTACGCCTGTTACTCCCAATGGAGCATAGGCCGCTGACCAGCATTCTCCAACCCACTCTGTCCTGGGCCTTCTTTTCTAGTTCCATCCAATTCTTGTTCATTTTTCTCATGTCTATCTCTAGCTCTCGGCGTAATGTGTTCTTTGGTCTTCCTCTTTTCCTTTGACCTTCAGGATTCCATGTGAGGGCTTGTCTTGTGACGCAGTTCGGTGCTTTCCTCAATGTGTGTCCTATCCACTTCCAGCGCTTCTTCCTGATTTCTTCCTCCACTGGGATCTGGTTTGTTCTCTCCCATAGTACGTTGTTGCTAATAGTGTCCGGCCAATGAATTTGAAGTATTTTGCGTAGACAACTGTTAATAAACACCTGTATTTTCTGGATGATGGCTTTTGTAGTTCTCCAGGTTTCTGCCCCACACAGTAGAACTGTCTTGATATTTGTATTGAAAATCCTGACCTTGGTGTTGGTTGACAGTTGCTTTGAGTTCCAGATGTTCCTCAGTTGTGAATATGCTGCTCTTGCTTTGCCGATCCGCGCCTTCACATCTGCATCAGATCCACCCTGTTCATCAATGATGCTGCCCAAATATGTAAAGGTTTTTACATCTTCCAAATCTTCTCCGTCAATTGCGATTGGATAAAACACTATTTCACGGAACAGAAATAATATGTACTGCAGATACACTAGGAAAGGAACTAGTGAATGTGAAAAATTGTTTAAAGAACAGCAGATATCCGCTGAAATTTATTGAGAAATATGGAAATGTAAAGAAACCTCAGTAAACAAAAAGCTATTTTTATTCAACTTAAATGTGAAGTCGACGAATGTTACAGGGTCAATCAACACAACACTAAGAACTGAATTGTGAAGAACTCATCCTGAAGTTAAACTGATTGTCTTGTCCAAGACAACGTGTTTATCAACATAATCAAGGATCGATAGGTATCCCTTTCATGTGACCACTAACTGTGTATACAAATTCACACGTATTTTCCAAAACAGTTACATTGGTAGAATAGAAAGGAGAGCCTACCTCCGATTCAAAGAACTTATTCCAAAAAGCCCAAAGTCAAGCAGATAAAAGCATTCAACAGTGCTACCTCAAGACATATTGAAACAGGACATCAAGTAGATACACTAAAGTCTTCTAAAGTAATTAATAAACAATCAAACTTCAATCTTTCGAAATTCGCCGAAGCCATAGTGATCAAACATTTAAAACCGGATTGTTATTTCCAAAAAGAAGCAATAATAAATCTTTCTTTGTCCTGGTAAAATTACATCCTTTTTATTATATTATTCATTATTCTCACTCTTTCTGAAATTTGATTACATTAATATCATTTTTCTTTAATTCTTAACTGACTGATTTCAATGCATATCTTTCTTTATTATCATTAGTCTGTTTTCGGTTACATCATTACACAACCATCTAAAGTTTATTAACTCTGCTATTTCTAATCACTAGTTCTATGTTCTGGAACTTTCCCTCTCGCAGTAATTATTTATCGTAAACAATATGACCTTATTAACTCTATTAAAATCTTCGTTACATCATGATA